CCCGGCTTCTTTGTTTTTTATTATTTACAAGATACCTAAAATCAAAGAATTGGCATGAGAAAAAACATTACTAACCTCCCCCCCAATAAACCAGATGGTATAAATTACAACATTATAAACTACCCATCTTATACATGGGTAGAATAATGATAATCTATGACATCTGTTAAGTGCTGTACTATTTCCAAAGTATTTGTTATTTTTCATGATCACTTCAACATATTTGTGAGATAGGCAGGATAGGTATATTTTTTATGTCAGAAAATCCATGTAGGTGAGATGGTGCATATCTTTAATGCTAGCACTTGAAGACAGAGACAGGTGGATCTCCATGATTTCAAGGTAAACAAGAAAAGAAATCTGAGGTTTAAATGTAGCACAGATCACAGACTCAAGGTAAAATCAGGGCTGCCTACTTATTGGCCATTGCCTCCTCCCATGCATAAAACTAGCTCTCAATGGTCATCTCTATAAGGTTTGACAGTGGTCATCAGTGTATGGTTTGATGATGGTCGTCATTGTATGGTTTGACAGTGGTCGTCACTGTATGATTAGACAGTGGTCATCACTGTATGGTTAGATAGTGGTCATCACTGTATGGTTAGACAGTGGTCATCACTGTATGATTAGACAGTGGTCATCACTGTATGATTAGACAGTGGTCATCACTGTATGATTAGACAGTGGTCATCATTGTATGGTTAGACAGTGGTCATCACTGTATGGTTAGACAGTGGTCATCATTGTATGGTTAGACAGTGGTCATCACTGTATGGTTAGACAGTGGTCATCACTGTATGGTTAGACAGTGGTCATCACTGTATGGTTAGATAGTGGTCATCACTGTATGATTAGACAGTAAGGGGAGACCTATGCTGTCCTTCTTGTTGGTCAAGATGCTGTCCCAGAACTTCTTTCAGCATGAGACCTGAGGATTCACATAAATGCAAATCATTTTTAAAGTACATAACTAAACTTATTTGTGTGAATGACCAGTAGGATCCCAAATATGCCTGGACACTGGAGAGGAATTTAATGAAATAAATGGTGCTCAGGTTCGGTGTTATGTGTATGCGACATGAGAAACTGAGGAGTTCTGTTACTCCTCCAGCCAGCTCAAGGACTGGGGAAAGAACTGTCTGCCCTGTCTCTCTCTACCTGCCCTTCTCAGTTCTGGCACTCCAGTACTTTGTCCTGAGCAACCCAACAGCCAGTGACTTGATGTTGCTCTTCAGGGGGACCGGCATGTGGATGGACTATCAAAGCACAAGGCCTCTACTCATATTTGTCCCACAATGGGGTGGGAAGAAGGTTGAGGTTGGGGGATGGGAAAGATGCTACCTCACAGCAGTGTCTGGATCTAAACCAGTGAAGACCAAATGCAGACCAAAAGAAACATTTTAAACTTTATTTATTTTTTTTTAAATCAAAGTTATCCATGAGCATAGTTTTAAAAAGTCAAATACTCTGTGTGGATTTGGTGCAAATTGGAAGTCCCTTGCCTTAGAAGTCACCATCTAACCCTGCTTGATAGTCTCTCTCCATAAAAGCAACAACTTCTGTTTCAGTTGTGTCTTACAATTTTCACTTTCACATTTCTAAATATTGTATCAATATACAATAAACTTCCTATCATCAAAGAATACATATGAAATACACTGGTAGTTTCAAAAGTAAAGTTGAGGGATACAGCCTTTTCCTTAACTTCTCCATGCACCTATATAATCATTCAATTAAATGTTAGTATTTTTACTACAAAGGCTTTGTTAAAATTATTCTGTTAAGACCTATCATATGCAATAGTGTACATATAGCTCTCTTATATTAAGTTTTATTTTCTCTTCAGTGTGTCTCCCCCCGCCCAACATTTGGGGATTGATACTACTTGATCCCCTAAGGTATACACCTGCTGATCTATTCCACCCATAAAATAACCTACCAATTTTTTTCTTTCTTTTCTAATAGACTTTCATTTCCCATTGTCCTTGATGTCCCAGTGTGGGCTGGTTGTGTTCTGGGCCCTCTTCTGGGATCTCCTTTTATTGTATTTCTGCAAATTCTGCTGTTCTGATATGTTTGGCTCCGAGGACCACATATTCTCTTCTCTTTACTCTTCTTGGAAACAAAGGTCTGGAGAGTGTCATTTGACTGGACCTAAAATTCTAGACAGAAATAATTTCTCTATCGTCCTCATGATGTTGATGGCTTCATGTCTTCTTTTTCCTATCAGCTATTGAGGAGTCCAATGCTATTTGTCCTATTCTGTATTGTGCCAATGTGACTCTCTTACCTTTTAGCCTTCTCTGGAAGTTTTAAAGAGCTCTTCACTTTCCCATATTAAAAAATAATATTACATGTATTTATTGTTCTCTCTGTCTCCCCCCACCGTGTGTGTGTGTGTGTGTGTGTGTGTGTGTGTGTGTGTGTGTGTGTGT